ACACAGAAGATCCACCTTTGAGCCACTAAAACATTCTGGCATACCAAGATAAGTTCCAGCCCCTCCTTCTTTAAAAATACCCAACAAAGACTGAATAATCACCTTAAGAAGGGGATCAACGTTTACACCAAAAGAGATGGAAGATTTACTGAGATTGATAGCTTGACCAGTAGCAGCCCCATACCTACACAGCGTCTCCTGAAGAAACAAACACTGATCCATGGAAGCCTTGCACACAAAGAGACTGTCATCCGCAAACAACAGGTGGTGCACCTCTGGTCCATCTTCTGAGAAACTGATCCCATTAAGCCTTCCATCAAGTTGACCCTTATTCAGTAAATGAGTCAAACCCTCCGTGTACAACACAAACAAAAAGGGTGATAAGGGCTCACCTTGTCGAATACCTCTCTGCCGAGTAATCAAACCAAAAGGCTGATCATTTATTAAAACTGAGAAGGTAACCGTGGACACACAAACCATGATCCAATCCACCCACTTAATATGAAACCCCATAGCTATCAACAAAGCTCTTAGGTAACTCCACTCTACCCTATCATAAGCCTTTGACATATCTGTCTTGACCACCATGAACTGAGAAGAAATATCTGCCCGAGTCTTTAAGCTGTGGATCACTTCATGTGCAACCAAAATATTATCTGTGATTAGCCTTTCTGAGACAAAAGCGGATTGATTCACTGAAACTATCTGTGGTAGGATAGGATGTAGACGATTAACCAAAATTTTTGAGATAGTCTTGTACAGAACAGAACATAGACTAATTGGCCTCAAATCAGTCATCTCCTCAGGAAGCTGAACTTTTGGCAACAAACAGAGATATGTATAATTCCATTCTGCAGGGAAAACACCTAACTCAAAGAAACTTTTAACCTCCTTTATCATTTGCTGACCAACAATGTCCCAGAACTGCTGAAAGAAACATGCTGTCATCCCATCAGGCCCAGGAGTACTAGAAGCTTTTATGGAAAAAATAGCCTCACAAATCTCTGAAGCAGTTACCTGAGCAATGAGGTTATCATTCATTTCAGCAGAAACCTTTGAAGGAAAACCAGAGAACCATTCATGGAAGCTTTGCGGATTAGAGGACTTGAAAAGAGAGCAAAAGTAGTCAGCCGCAACCTCCCCTTTACCTGCCTCATAATTTTGAAAAATCCCATGGATATTCTTCAGCTTTTCAAGTCTCTTTCTGGCTCTGTTGCCTTTCACTGATCCGTGGAAGTACTTAGAGTTCCTATTACCAGTCTTAACCATTTCTTTCTGCTTCTTTGCCACCAATATTCTTCTTCATTTCGGTACTCTTTCGCCAGTTCTCTTTTCAAGACATGAATCTGTTGCAAATTAGGCCAAACCTCTGACTGAACTCTTTCCAAGGCTTCCTCACATTGATGAATCTTCAAAAGAGAATTCATACCATTTTTCTTTTTCCATGAACTCAAAGCCTTCCTACAAGCTCTCAATCTATGAGAAACCAAAAAACCTTCATTTCTGCTACCAGGTTTCCAAGCTTTCTTAATCGCCAACTTGACATCAGGTTTGTGGAGGAACCTACTATCAAATCTAAAATGTCCTTTAAAAGAACCCTGAGAAGCAACCAAAAATATCAAAACAGGTCTGTGATCTGAGCCTCTCATGTCAGGAAGACCTGATTAGAGGCAGGAAAGTGATCCAACCAATCTTTATTTCCAAAGGCTCTATCTAAACGACATTGAACCCAATGGTCTCCTCTTCAACCTGCCCAAGTAAATTAAACTTATCACCCGAAAAAAGACAATTCAAAAAACCCACAGCTCCCCACCAACTCTGTGAAAGGTTTAAAGAAACTATCAGCTTTCCTGGGACCTCCTAATTTTTCTCCATTATGAAGGGTAGCGTTGAAATCTCCCACCATACACCATCTGTCCTTCTTGCTAACACCAATCCTACTGATTTTATCCCAAACAACACTGCGCTTACTACAATCTGGATCACCGTACACACAAGAAAGAAAAAAGTTTGAAGACCCAAACTGAACTTGAACATCTATCAAATTCTTATCCTTAGGGATATCCAACTGACAACTGCTCTTCCACAATAAGGCCAAACCACCACACTTGCCAACCGGTTCCACTGTGAACAACCTATCATACCCTAGAAGAACTTGCAAATCCAACAAACTATCTCTACACTGCATGGTTTCCATAAGAAACAAGATCTCAGGGAAGTGCTTTTTACGCAGTTCCTTGAGTCGAGGAATCGCCAAATCATGAGACCATCCCAATCCTTGACAATTCCAGCTGAGAATGCTCATTAAACGTTGGGCAATCCCTCATTCGGGATCACCTTCAAAGGGTTAAGATTTTTCGACTTTGCAGTGCTTGAACCTTCATTATCTGCTTTTCTTTTCTCTTTTACTCCAACAGTTAGACCCAAATTCAGACCCTGAGTTTCCAAAAAGCCACCTGCCGATTTTGGTTTGTGTTTTCTGATGATTTTCGGAGGCCTTTTCCTTGGTTTAGACTTTTTCAAGATAGTGCCGGAAGAACCAGCTTCAAAGAAACCAGGCCTATAAACTGTTGCACTATCCTGAAAAGGCTGAGATAACGCAAGGAAATTACCTGCATCTTCAGCAGATTGAATAGACTCCGGCTCTACTAACCAATTTCTCTCTGAGCATCCAACAGCTGCGATTGCATTCAACTTATTCCTCAAATCACCACAGACCACATTCTGGGAATAAGGCACATCTTCATTGAATCCACAGACTACTCCTTTCTCTTTGTTGACATCACTATGAACAATCGTCGGAGCTTCCAATCTGAGAATTGATTTCATTGCACTTGGTTTATTTTTCACTCATCGATTATTTCAAAATTCTTTATATCACAGAAAAATTAATTTAATATATTAAATACTATATTATAAAATGATGTTCACATTGTACAAATACGATTTTGACTGAATCTAGAAGACTGTTATTTTCCGGAAATAAAAGGCCATTAGTTTATTTGCACCACTTACATTTTTTTAGGTCTATGTTATAGTTTTTGGCAAAATAAAATTGCTATAGATTTTGTTGTTTTTGCTGAAATAGTAGTATTTTTGTTTCTAAAATAAGTGTAAATGGTAATATAAAAAAATATTCAGCCAGATTCAGCAATTCCGCAGTTACCATTTGTATAAAACTAAATTCAGCCAGATTCAACAGTTTTTCCAACATCAACAGATACATAGTATGTTCATTTCAGATAAAAATTTGGATTATAGCGATTCACAACTCGAATTAAAATATATTTGGCTATTAAAAATTACACATCAAATTTATATTTTAAAATAAGTTAGATCATACAAATACGATATATGAATAATTCATACACATAAAATCATTACCAGAATAGACAAGAGACATATTTATGTTAAGATATCTATAGATAATTTTAGATAATTTTAATAAATTTTAGATACTTAAATATAATTTTACAATTTTTTGCAAAAATAACTCATACTTATGCTAAAATAATATTTAAAATATCAAATTAAAAAAAATTGTTAATCATCCTAATCATATTAAGGATTTAAACTACTAGAGAACAATGAAAAATCAATAAGATAATCTATACTATATTATCATGTTTATTTTTAAATTAATTTTTCAATAAAACTTTGACAAAGCTTTCTACTAATTAATTATATCTTTTTAATAGTTCAAAAATTAGATTTGGAAGAACAACTCAATTTTGCTAAAAAGGTATTAATTCTAGTATTTATTTATTGGTATAAGAGTTAATTAGACTATTAGATAATTTTATCTATTTTATTAGATATTTTCCCTTAGTTATTCTATTAATATTCGTAATTATTTGACAATATTTCAGTTAAAGTCTTAATTATTTCGACAGATTCTGCTAAAAAGCACAAAAAAATTCAGCTAGATTCAGCGGTTACCATTTGAAATATAACAATTCAGCCAGATTCAGCTAAAAATCACTAAAAATTCAGCCAGATTCAGCAATTCAGCCGGATTCAGCCAGATTCCTCAGTTACCATTTAGACCATAATAACTAACTTTAACCTTCTTGAATAATGGGAAAATCCTTTGGCTGGCTCCTTATATTGTAAGATGTCATGCATGCTCTTAACTAATTTCATAAATAGGATAAAGAGTTTGAGAGATAAGACTCATGGAACCCCAAATATGGAAAGATGATACATATCTTGCCTATTAAAGGTTTGTGGGAGAGGTGAGCTGATATTGATGCTCTACAAACTTTATGTGGATTGATGTATTTCTTTGTGGCCTGTTAAATTCCGAATGTCAAAGTTCAATTATATATCTTATACTCTCTCCGTTTCACAAAAAGTGTCGTTTTAAGATTTTATTTTTGTTTCATAAAGAGTGTCGTTTTGTATTTTCAATGCAAAATTTTGAATAAAAATCCATTTTTAACCTTATTTCTTTAATGTATTAATAAGAGAGATAATTTTATTTAGTGTATTGATAAAGGGTATAATAAAAATTTTAATAGTTTTCTTAATATATGTGAAAAAATGTAGAATGACACTCTTTGTGAAACAGAGAGAGTATGTTTATATAAATATTATTTTCCTTTGGTTTTTGTTTTAAAACATGAGGATTGAAACTGTGTTTTTTTTTTAATGTGAAAAGAAAAAGTTCAATTTAAAAACTGACAAAAAAATAATTTATGTTTAGCCATTTTGCTTTAAATATAAAATTTTAACATCATTTCACGAAAAAAAAAATATAGCTTTGCCGATTCTTCTTTGCATCAAGAGTTTATATCTTTAATTAGGCTTAAAAACCCCATACTTGGTAATATTAGAGTTTGTTTTTAAAACATGCTCACTTTGAAATATCTAATGGAAAATTAGTTACCTACAAAATTAAAAACATTAACGATAAGAAGATCTTAAAGAGGGAAAGAGAGTTAGGAGAGATATGGTCAATTGCTAAATTTATTACCTGACAAAATAAAATAGATTACGATAAGAGTGAAAAAGAGAGAAAGAGCCAGAGGAGAGAGAGAGAGAAGCTTTTGGTCGTGTTCGTTTTTCTTCTTTCTTTATTGCAATAATAAATAGAAGCAAATCATACTCCAAAAACCTTCATTCAAACTCTGATTCTCACAAAGATTCTCACAAAGATTTCATCTAAAATTCAGTAAACTCATCTACGAGAGTTCTTGTTTTTCGTTAAATATAATTTTCTTAGAGAGAGCCTAATAAGCTGTTTAATATAGTAATCTAATATTTAGAGAGATGGAGAGAGAGAGAATGTGGTGGTGGTCATCATCGTCGACGAAACTCCGATCAAACCTTGAGAGATTTCTTAGAGGAATCACTCCAAAGCCTCCTTCTTTCTCTTTATCACAGGTAAAAAAAAACACTAATTCTGTTTTCAACCTTTAATAAATAAATCAAAAACTAATTGTTTTTAATTCTCTTCTATTGGTGTGATTTTTTTTTTCCGCTTACGAGAATCCGCGTCAAAGCATATTCGCATTTCAACTAATCATTTTAGTAAAAAAAATTAAATCTCATGTTTTTAGTTAATTACATATCGACAATACAATTATTATTATTATAATTTGGTGAAATTTTGGAATAAGGTCAAAGAAAATTTAGCATTTTATGTCCATTTCGTGACGTTTTCTTTCTCCACGTGGAAACCTTACGACAGCAATATCTGTATTGAAAATGGCACAGAAAAATCAAAATCAATTAGAAAAAATGTCTTGTAGTACTGAAATTGGTTTGAATATTCTGGATCTACCAAGGTATATCCTGTGTGAATGTGTCTTCTTCATCTTTAAACCATTAGATGACTGTCTCTTTCAGCAATTATTGTAATTAAATGTGCGATTAACTGCATGTGGTGTAGTATTTATTAACAGTGTTGAATTAATTACAATGCTTTTAAGAAGTGGAGTATTAATAATTAGCACTAAACACATGGGCTTTAATTAATTGTTTAAAAGCTACTTAAAGTTTGATGTTAATTTGCAGAGCTGCAAGAATGATGTGAACAGTTTGTGGATCCATGAGAACAAAGATGAGATTGAATATTTCAGGCTTAGTGATCTTTGGGACTGTTTTGATGAGCCAAGCGCGTATGGACTCGGATCAAAGGTCGATTTAAACAATGGTGAATCCGTTATGCAGTACTATGTCCCGTATCTATCCGCCATTCAAATCTATACTAACAAATCTACAGCTATTTCCAGGTACGGTCAATTACATATAAAGAGTGTTCTATACATGTGTCAGTGTCAAGGAACTTGAGAAGTGAATCATTGGTTTTTGCAGGAACCAGAGTGATGTGGTTGATTGTGAGAGTGAATGTTGGAGTGATGATAGTGAGATTGAGAAGTTGTCAAGGTCATTGAGCAGTGGTTCTAGCAAAATATGGGATTCTGTTTCTGATGATTCGGGTGATGAGATCGATGGTGTTTCTTCGTTGATGCGAGATAAGCTCGGTTCCATTGATTTTCAGTATTTTGAGTCCGCTAAACCGCACTTGCGGGCTCCTCTTACCGCTAAGGTTCTCATTCATTTCAATTTTTGTGGCCTCATTCTCTTTATCTTGCATAAAGAATCTAACTAGCTTAGGATTTGTTTTCCTCTTCCTTTGGTTTGTTTTAGGTAAATGAATTGGCTGAGAAGTATCCCGGACTTGCGACTCTAAGGAGTGTTGATTTGTCTCCAGCAAGTTGGATGGCCATTGCTTGGTAAGTATAGAAATTCTCTGCATTTGGTTTCCGGCCTCGATGATGATAAAATCTTGAACTTTTGTTACGGGTTTAGGTATCCAATTTACCACATTCCCTCTCGGAAGATGGATACAGACTTATCGACGTGTTTCTTGAGTTATCATACACTATCTTCGGCTTTTCAAGGTATATGTATAAACTTATGTTCTTGCATAAAACTTGCAAGGTGTAATTCTTAGATTGTTATAAACTTATAGTTATAGAATCTCTCAGCTTTAGACCATATTTTGGTACAAACTTCGAAACATCTAGCTTTTTGATGTTCGACTTCTTAGGTAACTTGATAGAGGGAGAGGATGAAATTAACGAAACCATGGAAGAAGAAACATTGTGTTTTGATGATGAACCAGTGACCAAGAGACTTCTTTTGGCTCCTTTTGGTTTAGTTAGTTACAAGATGCAAGGAGATTTGTGGAGTAATCAAGAATCATGTGACCAAGAACGTCTAGTTTATCTCCACAGTGCAGCTGATTCGTGGCTGAAACAGCTTAATGTTCATGATCACCATGACCATAGCTTCTTCTCCATGAACATGAGCTTGTAGATCCAAAAAAAGAGCCATGACTCTGTTTTTTGCTCTGTTTTTAGCTGTTTTCTTGGGTATATAGCAACTCGTCATTGTAGAGGTTTCGTTTCCTTCTGTTGAACCCATGGAAAATAAAGAGAATTAGGCTTGTTTTTGGCTTTTTAGTTATGAGAAGATAGTTTTTTTTTTTTTTTATAATCTTTGTTTTATGAGAGATTATGGATATGAAACTTATGAGTTTTGTCTCATGTTTTTCTCTTCATTCTTTTCTTTTCTAGATGTGTTTTATGTTTGTATGGATTTCTGACCAGATAATTTTGTTGTCTGAACATATCTGTCAGATGTTTTCCTTTTCTATAAATTGGTTTGTCGTTACAGCCGAAGAAAGGGTCAACATTTGATAAACCTAAACAAAATTATAAATTTTTTCTCTTGTTTACAAAAAAATGTTTTAGAAAAGAAGAACAAAAGATCATATAGTTGAGTGGTTTCACCATGATTTCGAGCGGTCTACACGACTACGCGTTTGGGATGAATTAGACTCTTCTGTCTTGTGATACTCTGCCAAAAAAAATATATATATTTCAATAAAAAAAATTTAATTGATAACCGAATTAGCTAATCATTTGACGTGTAAATCTTTTTCCCCCCTTCTATATCCTAATGTTTAGATGATTAGAACAACTAATAAAGTTTAACAATTTATGACGATTCACAAGAATTTGTATTTGATATTATCTAGAGTATTTTTATAAGATGAATCTAAATTGCAAAATGATTAAGAGAAAAAATTTATTTGCAAAATACCCTCAAATGGATAAAATGTATGTGGATTTTTAAAATAATATATATATATATATATATATATATATATATATATTCAGCTATTAAATAATTTTTTCTAAACAGCATTATATTTTTCTTTTTAGAAGTTACACGGAACTGGATAATGGAAAATAAACGTACACAATAGGTTAGCTGTTTTTAATATGTTATAGTGTACGTACATCGAACTAACTAGGTACATCAACGTAAGTACGGGTGCCTCTACCTATCTGAATTCTGAATAGAACGTTACAATGTATTTTCACATGTTTTTAATTGACCCAAATTTAGTTTAACTAGCACATGTGCTGTCAACTGCCACAGATAATCCCAGTCTCTCCAAACCATTTCCAGTCTCCTCGGTGATGATCGAAGTTGCTTATAACAATAGCAATGTTTGATTGCATGGAAACTCAATGTCAATTGCAAGGTTTTTCTGTTTATGAAGCAACTTCCAACGTACAGCTTCTCACCTGTCGTGCTAATTTCTACTTCTGTCGCATCAGCTCTAACATTGGTTAAATCATCGAACATTGGAGGAGCATCATTATCAAGTATATTGACCTCAGCACTTAACATTGAAGGGAAAGAATTATAGACAGCATAAGACTCTTCCAATGTGACAACACCGTAGGTAGATTCTTCCAAAATCTCTACTGTAGATCCTACTGCAGGTTTGTCCACGACCAGGGGCGGATCTACAGTATAAGGAGGTGGGGCACGTGCACGTCAGCAATGTCACGGTCATGGCCTATCCCATATTCACTGACTATAAAATCAGTCCACTTATTGTAATCATAATCCTCGTCGTCTCCTTCACTACCATCTACAGTCAGTTCCATGCCACCAAACTGCTTGATATATCGGTGTCATTATTGTCAACGGTTTCATCGTTGTCGACATCCTCAGCATCCTCCTCTTCATCGACGTCATCCCCTTCTTCCTCAAACGACTTTTCTTCCTCATCCACCATTTCTTCGTCTTCCTCCTCCACGTCCTCTTTAGCTACTTCAACCGATGCGTGATTAACGATTGGAGAAAATGACACAAACATGTTAGACGCTTGGATCACCACTACGAATAGAAAAAAATGTGTCCAAGCTCACTTGATTGTCAGTGAACACTGAAGGGCGTTTACGTTCAATCATCATCGACATCTTTCCAGGCATCCAATAACTAATGTTTGGAATAAACTCCGTACACTTTCGGTTTTAAAATTTGGTATCCATTCGGATATTTTGAAATTTCGGTACGGTTTCGGTTTGGTTCTGGTTCTTTCGGTTTTAAAATTTAGTATCCATTCGGTTATTTTGTTTAGGATATTTTCGGATATTCGGTTATTTTTGAGTATTTTCGAATATTTTTCGGTTATTTTTGAGTATTTTTACTATTTTTATAGATTTTTCAAGTATTTTTGATTATTTGGTCAATAAATAACTAATTATTTCGAAAATATAATTGTATTTCGGGTATTCGGTTACCCGAGATATTTCGGTTCGGTACCGATTCGGTTACGGTTATTTCGGTTATCAAATTTAGTATCCATTCGGTTATTTTCAAATTTTCAGTTCGGTTCGGTTCGGTTTTTTTTACTTCGGTTTCGGTTCGGTTTAAAAGCCCAGCCCTAACTACGACACTACCTGAGAGATGAGCAGAATTGGTTGGATCTCGATATCGATATCTGTCTGCTAGGGTTTCGAAATCCCTGATGGGAAGGGATAAAATACCAACGCCGCAAATATATAGGCTTCAGAATGGGCTTCGCTTTAATGGGCCAACAGTTTGTATGTATCTTTTTTTCTCTTTCTTTGTTTACTGAAAAAAAGTGACAACAGCCCACACATTCTTAGTCATACCTTGTATCCACTTGAACTTGTATTGAATATATATTTTAAAAAAAAAAAAAAAAAAAACCTACCAAATCACCTAATGTATGTAGTTTCCATTTCATGTTTGAGTTGGTGTAACTTTGTATAGGCGAAAATTTGATTAAAAAGCATATGAAAATTTTGGGTTTGGGTCACAAATTATTTGTTGTTCGAGTCCCACTATAGTCAAATGACACTGGGCCGTTAGAGCACCCACAGTGCACACTTGTGCATGTGGATGAGTGTGTGTTAGTGGGGATTTAATAATAAAATAATGTAAGAAGTTATGCTTAGAATCAAATTGTTAGGAGTTGATTATTATTTTTGTTGTGACGCAGTAATTCTGTATATGATATCAAAATTTATACATTGTTTCACTGTATTTGTAAAATCACCCGCGAAAACTTGTTTCTTAATTACGGTTTTACCATTCACTTTTTTTTTTGCTATTTCTGAACCAAAATTTACATATCTACCTAATTATCTCTATTATCCAAAACATAATGTAAAATCATTTACTTTGACTACATACTTGATTTTTTTTTTTGGCAACTTACTTTCGCAAAAACAAAGAAAAGTTATCCCATTAAAAAAAAAAAAAAATTATTTCACGAAATTTGATTTATAATTTCAATCTGTAACCGAGTTTTAAAATTAACCAATAGTAATGGTTTAATATGTTTATCGTAGGACAAAATAATTATTTGGTTGGAAGTTGGAATTGCGGTTCCAGAGATGAATGATGGCTAATCCTACAGTTTCTCCTTGTCTTATTTTTCCGCATTGTCCTTCTTCTACACTGACATGACATGAACAACTTCAACGCCTCGAATCTTTCTCCTCCTCTTCATTCCTTCTCATCAAGATACCCTCTCCACATTTCCTCGGCACCAGAGGACAAATTCAAACGTCTCACAGCTTCCCGGAGATGTTTTCGTTTGTGGGTTTCGTGGTGTTCTTATCTGGATTTTTCCTGGGAATTCTCGCCGTCTTGGCCGCTGAAGCAGCAGGGTTGATGTATCTCTTGAAGCGATTTAATCGGAAGAGAGATCGGATAGAGTCAAAACCCGTCTCTGATCCATCTACCAAGGATTTTGATCCTCGCGAATCCATCGATTTCTGTATCAACAAACAGGTGATCGATCTTAATTCCTCTTTTTGAGTTTTTCAAGGGTTTTGTTTCTGAGAGAGAAGAATGTTCATTTTCTAAAGAGCTTATCTTTTAGAAAATTCGAATTCTGGGTCTAATTATGAAATGTGTGCATGTTGCTTCCATTATGAGAATTGACTTCGTTTCATTGGAAATTTCGATTGAGATTGTAAAGTCACCAACTTTCGATTGAGAGCGTTTGAATTGTAGTCCAAGTTAGGGCCAGACAAACTCTGTTTCTGGCATTTCGTATTGCTTCTCAAATTTGAATATCTGTAATGAAGTTTTGTATTTATTTCCCCAGGGAGTGGTATGGATTTTGGAGTTGGATGAAGGTATAAAGAACTGGATGAAGGAAAAGTTACCAAAAGAGCAGAAGAGGAAGAGACACTTGTTGGAGATTCATCCACTTCGAAAGTTCGCTCGAATCAAAGATCACAAGCTCATCTTGTCAGATGCTGATGGCACTCAGAGCCAGACTACAGTTTCTTTAAAAGGTTGCAGTATTGAGGCTGTTTCAGGATCTGATCTCCCTACAAGAAAATGGTACCCCTCTTTGTTTATGACCCTTTTTTCAATGATGGGAATTCTGATATTTTGATCCTAATAAGTTCCGGAACTTCTTATGACCATGAAGTTTGATTTTTCTTTTGTTTCTTAGGGCCAAAAGATTTCCTATAAAAGTTGAAGGCAAGATTTCTCCAGCCTTATACAAGGGAAACCAAGTGTTTTACATCTATCTCGAGACTTCTTGGGAAAAAGAATCATGGTGTAAAGCCCTTCGTCTTGCTGCTTGCGAAAATCAGGAAAGGTTTATTTGGTACTCCACCAAATTGAAAGAAGATTTCCGTAATTATGTGACTTCTCTTAATGTTGCATATCCTTCATTTATGAAACCATCTCTTGGGTTTAGTTTTGAGACACTTGACAAAGGGAACAGAACGGATGGTTCATCCTCAAAGGTTCGCTTGTTTTTGAAGAAATTTTCTAGAAAGCGATCAAATCGTGAAGACAGGAAAACCTATTCACAACATGGAAGTAGCTCAGGGAAGTGCTTTCCAGGAAAGAATAATATTACAGATGATACTGATGTGCCTATTTTTTCACGTTCTGTGAGCCATAGTAGTCATATTTCTGGGGTTTCAGATGGAGATTCTGAAGACAAGGTTGACATGGATGAAGGAACATTAGCGTTGAACTTGCTCATTTCTAGGCTTTTTTTCGATCTCAAACGGAAGACAGGAATGAAGAATTCAGTGCAAGCACGAATCCAGGTCTGCACTTTTCATGTTTCTGAAACCTTTCATGAACTTAGAAATTTGAGATGATATGATTTCTATAACCAAACAAAGATGTAACATTTTGGTTTTAAACAGCGGTTGTTATCTAACATGAGGACTCCGAGCTACATTGGCGAACTAATCTGCTCCGATGTTGACACTGGAAATCTCCCACCTCATATACATGCTACACGGGTTCTTCCAATGG